TAATAATTGGATGTAGCATCAAGAATTTCTATGGAATAACTGTTACATTAGCTTAGGTAATAAAAATGTACTGGAATTTTGTTCTGAATTTATTAGGTAACCAAAAAAGTTCTGTCGTTTTTTGTGAAACTACAAAGTTTAAAGAATGTTAAATGCAATACACAATAGCTGGCACTAAAATTCCAGCAAAATGTTAATCAAGATTTAATGTTGACTCATATAAAGAGAAGCGGAAAGGTTATCTCTTAATATTATAAAAATTGACCTGAAGATGAGTATTCCAAACTCTATAATTCGTGCTTGTATGTTGTATGAGTTTAAACTTGGAAAAAGTGCTGTGCAAATGGCTCAAAAAATATGCCAGGCTTTCGGACAAGGTTCTATCAGCACTCGCACCACCCAAAGGTGGTTTAGAAAATTTTCTTCCGGTGATGAGTCGCTTAAAGATGAGCCACGAGAAGGGCGGCCATATGTCATTAATAATGATGAATTACAGGCTGCAATCGAAGAAGATTCCACTCAAACTTGTCAGATATTAGCACAAAAGTTCTCCATAAGTGATGAAACTGTCCATTTACATTTGCATAGTCTTGGAAAAGTTTACAAGCTCAGCAAATGGATCCCTCATCAATTGACACCTGCCAATATTGTGCGTATGGTGGACCACAAATGGATTTGTTCACTATGAACTTATACCACCTGGCCAGACTATTACTGCTAACGTCTACAGTGACCAACTCCGTGGAGTTCACCAATCACTTTTGAAAAAACAGCCAGCTTTAGTAAATCATAAAGGCATTATTTTCCTATACGATAATGCTATAGACATCATGTTGCGCATGTGACCTCTGACACAATTCAGATCCTTGGATGGGAACCTCTTTTGCACCCTCCTTATTTCCCTGACATTAGCCCTTTTGACTATCATTTATTTTTAAGCCTAGATAATCATCTGCAAAATCAACAGTTCAGAAATAGAGGGGTTATAGAAACGGAGTTAGGAAAGTTTTTCAACTCTAAAGATTGTGACTTTTATAAAAATGGAATTCATAAGCTTGTTTCTTGTTGGGAAAAGGTTATTGAATGTGAGTGTGGTTATTTTGATGAATAAATTGTGTTATTTCCTATATATTTTTATATTTGTTTTCTTTTGACAAAAACCGACAGAAATTTTTTGGTTACCTGATAAATGATATTTATCAAATATAAGATTAAATAATATCCATGGTGACCAAGCTGGCCTTTCTAGACCTGTACTGCAACTCCCTAACATTTAATTATAATAATTAAATGTACAGAAATACATATCCATTACATAAAATACAGTTTTAAAAGAGAATGTGGCTCTTTTATTTTTGATGGGCAATATATGGTTTCTTTTGTGACAAGGTTTTGGCCAGCCTTGCTATATATACCAGAAAGTAGGTAATATAGTTATGCAGTAG